TCCTTTCCCCAATGAGATTATAAGGTGTTTTTTTTTTTCATCTTTTTATTTTAGATTTAATTAAAAATTCTCAAGAACAGCGATCCTATCTTATTCTCCCTTTTATCCCTCTAACATCTAGCATAATGCTTAGTACAAACAGAGAAGTTCAACAGATGTTTGCTGATCGGCTGTCGGGCACACCGTGGGGCCTGCGGCCGCAGGAATGTTCCCCTCCTCCCGCCCCATCGCAGCTAACCTGCCTCCCCCGGGCTTGACGTCTCTGAGGTCTGGCAGCCGCGTTTCTGCTGTCCCTCCTTGCCTGGCCAGTGTCGCAGCCAGCTCTGGGCACACAGTGGAGCCTTGCTCCCAAGGGAGGGCTTGGCTAGTTCTTTTCACTTAATTGGTAACTGTGACTATGATTAGTCTTAAAGTCTGATTGGAATTAGGCTCAAACCCCAAGACATGGGGGACATTATTGAGAAGATGTGACCATGCATTAGAACATTTGCCTTTCTTGGATCCTCACTAATCAGTCAGTAAGGGCTCCCGAGAAATAAGATAACCCAGTCTATAGCCTGCTCCTTGTGAAGCAAGGAAGGTCTCATTACTTACCCAAAGCACCACTGTACTTGGGGTGAATGGAAAGAGGCTGTGATCCCCAGTGCTGTAATATCTGTGTGTGTATGTGTGTGAATCGCTCAGTCATGTCCAACTCTTTGCAACCCCATGGACTGCAGCCCGCCAGGCTCCTCTGTCCATGAGATTCTCCAGGCAAGAACACTGGCGTGGGTTGCCATTCTCTTCTCCAGGGGATCTTGCCCACCCAGTGATCAGACCTGAGTCTCCTGCATTGCAGGCAGATTCTTTACCACCTGAGCCACCAGGGAAGCCCTCGCCCTTTATTTGAGGTGTTTCTTAACAGAGACATTTAGAATCTGTGAGTTCCCCAGAGAACCCCAGGGAGTTGGTGGTGGCGGCAGCAGGAGGTGGAGGGAATTCTGTACCCCACCCTCCCCAGTGGGTTGCCAGTCCGCAGGTCTGAAAGTTGGACTCATCACCTTAGGACACTGGGTCAGGCAGGTCCTTGCCCATTTGGGCCTGTTAGCCCACACACACTCTGAAACTCCATCAAAGTACATCGTTAGCTCAGCTATCAGAATAGCAGTGGCAACATGTCCTGCCATGTTCCTGTTAATGAACTGAGTTCATTAACTGAGGACCCACCAGGTGCCTACATGGGTGTATTTCCAGTTACTAATGCACATTTTTCAAAACTTGAATTTAGAAGTGCAGAAGCATATAAAAATATAAATCCTCACCCAGAATGAAATCCTCACCCATGTTTGTGGGGACTGACAGATCCTTCCCCACCTCTTCCCATTTTGTCACAAAGGACTTCTCCATAGGTTGCGCAGATGACCTGCGTAATGGGCCATCTTGAGTGAGAGCCCGCAGAGTTTTTTCCCACCTATGGGAATATTGACAAGAGCAAGCAAACCACAGAAATTTTTAAAGGTTGCCAAGTCACAGAACAACTGAAATGATGTGAAGGCATGAAGATACCCCAACTAAACCTATTAACACAACAGTAAGATGTATGTTATCAACAAGATGGGCCATGTCCAATTGGTAGGTAATTAGGTCCATGTGGTAATTAAGTGATTAGATTTTGATTTATCAACCACATTCTTTCTGTCCTGCCCACTCTGCTTGCAGTTGTTGTTGTTAAGTTGCTAAGTCGTGTCTGTCTCTTTGCAATTCTATGGACTGCAGCACGCCAGGCTCCTCTGTTCTCCTGTATCTCCTGGAGCTTGCTCAAACTCATATCCATTGAGTTGGTGACGCCATCCAACCATCTCATCCTCTGTCATCCCCTTCTCCTCCTGCCTTCAATCTTTCCCAGCATCAGGGAGTTTTCCAATTGAGTTGGCTCTTCACATGAGGTGAGCAAAGTTTTGGAGCTTCAGCATTGGTCCTTCCAATGAATATTCAGGGCTGATTTCCTTTAGGATGGACTGGTTTGATCTCCTTGCAGTCCAAGGGACTCTCAAGAGTCTTTTTCAGCACCATAATTCAAAAGCATCAATTCTTTGGTGCTCAGCTTTCTTTATAGTCCAACTCTCACATCCATACATGACTACTGGAAAAACCATAGCTTTGACTATACACACCTTTGTTGGCAGAGTAATGTCTCTGCTTTTTAATATGCTGTCTAGGTTTGTCATAGCTTTTCTTCCAGGGAGCTAGCATCTTTTAATTTCATGTCTGTGGTTACAATCTACGGTGATTTTGGAGCCCAAGAAAACAAAATCTGCCATGAAGTAATGGAACTAGATGTCATGATCTTAACTTTTGGAATGTTGAGTTTTAAGCCAGCTGTTTCACTCTCCTTTTACCTTCATCAAGAGACTCTTTAGTTCCTCTTTGCCTTCTGCCATTAGAGTGATATCATCTGCAAATCTGAGGTTGATATTTCTCCCAGCAATCCTGATTCCAGCTTGTGATACATCCAGCCCAGCATTTTGAATGATGTACCCCACATATACGTTAAATAACCAGGGTGACAATATATAGCATTGACATACTCCTTTCCCAATTTTGAACCAGTCCGTTGTTTCATTTCCAGTTCTAACTGTTGCTTGATCTGCATACAGATTTCTCAGGAGGCAGGTAAGGTGGTCTGGTATTCCCATTTCTGCTTGCAGAACACCCTTAAAATAGTGTCCCTCAAATTTTATCAGCTATTGGCAACTTGTGAAGATCATAAGGTCAAAATCAATTTTCTTGAGGTTGACCTTCTCTCCCAGAACAGATCGCTGGACTTAATCAGCAGGACTGTGCCCCGTTTGATGAGAAGAACTGTCTCCCTTTTGTAAAGTATCCTGTGTAGGTACAGTTCATAGAGAGCTCTTGGGTGACTTCAGTCACATCCAGAGCTTCGATTTACAAGATGTTGACTCAGTCCACGTCTCTAGCTCAGAAATTTCTACCAGGCTCCAAACCCGTGGTCCCCAGTGCCTCAACATCCCAAGGGCAGCTCAGATTTGAACTCAGCATGCACGTGCATGCACACACATGCATGCATGCTGTCTCTCTCTCTCCCCCGCTTCCTGTCCTAAATCTAAACTTTAGTAAACAATATCATGCACACCAGGTTTCTAAACCCAAGGAGGTCTCCAGGTTTTGTTGGAATTTGGATTCTTGAAAACTGGTGTCAAAATGGAGCATTCTCCAGCTCTGGCTCTCCCAGCCCGTCACCGTCTCCTTCCCCCACCCCCCCCCTGCTTCTTGCCTCACCTGGATTCATGTCTCAAGGTTAGACACAGAACCTGTGCCCTCACACAGGGTCTTGCTAGGTTGACCAACAGAAATCACCCGAGGGACTTTTCAAAAGGAAGGCGCCCCATCCTGTCCCCCAAGATTCCGATTCACAGGGTCTGGGGTGAGATGTAATCCACTCTGGGCACCCACTTAGAATTCTGTCTGAACCCCAGGGCAGAGCAGGAGGGACCCTGGGTGCTTTGTAACCCCCCAAGTTTGGGACCACTGCTCTCCCAAGGAGTGATGGTACCGTACATGTTTGTACACGATGGCTGTCGCTACACACACAAACACACCTACATCCTTCCCACACACGCAAGTTCATTTATGCCAAGTCCCCCCTGACACATTGCTTGCAGCTGTCACTAAACAGTCCCTCAGTCCAGCCCTGCCCCCTCCTCCTTTCTCCTCTTGACACAGCAGGGTCCTCCCTAGACTCGCTGCCTATACACTGCCCTCTGCTCTGCTCCTGACTTAGTCACCTTTGGAAACACAGATCACAGCCACTAAAGTGCTTGGGCCCCTGCAGAACTATCAACCCCACCCAGCCTTCCCAAACGCTGCGTATTTCTTCAGGCTGTTACTGTCCCATCTGCGGCGACGGAGCAAACAAGATGCACGGAAAATCGAGAAAAGCTCTTAAACTCATTTTAGGTACATCACATCTCTGTTGGCTAAAAGTGGGCTTAGGATTCTATTTGATAACGTTCTGTCTCTTGTAGCAGCTTTCTCACTGGAGGTTAATATCAGCAGTGGTTTTCTTTGTTTGTTTTTGTTTTTCTTGAGTTTTTTTGTTTTGTTTTGTTTTCTGTTTGGCTGTGTCGAGTCTTAGTTGCGGAATGTGGGGTCTTTAGTTGGGGCCTGTGGGATCTAGTTCCCTGACCAGGGATTGAACCCAGGCCCCCTGCTTTGGGAGTGTGAAGTCTTAGCCACTGGACCACCAGGAAGGTTCCTAAGCAATATGTTTTGTTTTTGTTTTTGTTTGAAGGAGCACCGTGTAATAAGTTTGTGAAATACCCCTAGGTCGGACAGGTTAACTTACCTGACTGTGGATTATGCATCTTCTTGGGTGAGAAGTCACGTGCAAAGTTTCCCAGAGTTACTGCCTCTGCTTCACCGTAAAGGAGTTTTCTCGTAGGCTTGGTGTTCCATGGAAAACACTCTGGTCAATGTTGTCTTATGGGAAAAGGCTTCCAGGATTTGGACGACTAGTTGGTAAACGGATTAAAGGAAAACCCAATATTGTGTAAGATGTTATATGTGGAAAAGAAAGGAATAAAGATGTTTTTCTCTTTAAAGAAGTAGCTAAGGGGGTGTTTTCTGCGTCTCCAAAGAAAGACAATGAATTTTAAACGCTTTCAAAAAATGAGCCGAATGCTTTTCTGCTTTGCTTCACCCTGCACAACCTGGCCTGTGATTTATTGTTAGGATTTTCCCAAAGGAGAGAAACATCCTGAGTTTGTCCAAGACCAGGCAGTTACTGAGCGTGAGGCAGCCTTGATACTATTCCCCTCTCTGTGAATGTTTCCAAATGTTGATCTCATTAGCAGGTTACCCTTAACCTGCATCTTTTCATTTTTCTTATTCAAGAAACTAAAAAAATGTAATAAACCTCCCTTCTCTCTCTCTTCCTCTCCTTCCCCTCGCCTTCTCCGCTGCCCCCTCCCCCCTCCCCTGTGTCTCCCCTCCCCCTCCAGGAACTTTCTGCATCATCTCACTGTGCACCTGTGTGGCTGGGATCAACTTTGAGCTGTCACGTTACCCCCGCTACCTGTACGGACTCCCCGACGACATCAGCCATGGCTACGGATGGTCCATGTTCTGTGCGTGGGGGGGCCTGGGCCTCACGCTGATCTCGGGATTCTTCTGTACCTTGGCCCCTTCTGTCCAACCTGTCCCGAGGACCAACTGCCCCAAATCCAGACCCGAGAACGGGACAGTGTGCTAAAACAACAAGCCCATACTCACACACACATATATATATATAAATATATATATAATATACATATATATGACAAAACTCGATCAAGACAATGCCAGTGCCAAGGCAGAGTGGGGGTTGGCTCAGGCACCCACATCTCGCCAGACTCTGTGTCACCTCATCACCGAGATGGGGGATGGCGTTCCCCTCACGTGGCTCTTCCATCGATTTGTAACTTCTGACTCTGTGGTTTCTTGAGGACAGCGTGAGCATCACCCCTCAAAGACAGGGTCCCGATTCCCACCACTCACAAGGATGGGGGCATGGGGGGGGGCTGGGGAGAGACGGTGCCTGTGGTCCAGGGTGGCACAGGTGTAGACAAGAAAATGCCATCCCCTGAGCCGACAGGAGGGGACACCACCCCAACCCCGATCCTATCGCAGAGGAACAGCGCCCTTAGTTCATAGAATGTAACCAGATCTTCGAGGCCATTTCCAGAACCATTTTCTTCTCCTGCTCTTCCCGTTCTGATTTCCTTCCTGGCCGACCAGCGACACACCAGAAATTAGACGAGAAAACCCACCGAGAAGGAAGTTTTCTCTCTGCTGCCAAACTTTTGGATGAAGTGCCGGAGGTGGGAAGGGGGAGAGAACACCCTGCTGAGACGCAAGACCCACATCAATGAAAGGACACTTACGTGGATGCTTAGAAAGCCCAGTCTCACCTTCCAGCTGCCTTACACCCAGTTAAACAAGAGGCCGCCCTGCCCCAAACACAGCCTGCACTCCCTGGGCAGATCGGAGCCTTGGAGTAACCCTCTGGTGTGTGTGTGTGTGTGTGTGTGTGTGGTGTGTGTGCGCGCGCGCGCGATCGTGCGCAACAACTTTGGATGGTTTCCTTTTTTTTCTTTTCACCTTTTAAAAATACTACTGGATCATGACTGTTGTCTATCATTTGCGGTGGTTTCATGGCCCAGGATGGAGGCCTCAGGAACTAGGAAGCATCACGAGGGTGGGCCTCTGTGGGTGCCAGTTCTGCAGCTTGACATCCCTGCTGTGTGTGTGTGAGTCTGTGTTTGCTGAGTGTGGGGTTTCTGTCATTGGTGTTGCATTTTTCTATTATTTTTAGTGCGGCTGAAATTCCCCGAGGGCAGAACCAAGAACATAAGCCCTGGGCAGAGGACCTGCGGTGCTGCACATCCCAGGCCTGGGACGCCACGGGACTCGGCGCCCTAACTTTGGGAGTTCAAGACACATCTGGGCACACAAGCCATGAGCGAAGAAGGGAGCGCGGATCAAGAGGGAGAAGGGGAGTGGCCTCAGCTACCGCTGGATAAAGTCCGTACACCAAACGAGACCTTTCCCTTCCCATCACGGAAGCTGTCCTTTGTCACTGGACATCCACCCCTTTCCTAGGGGCGACTCTGTACAGACGAGAGAAAATGGGTCCCATGCAGAGAGAGCCACCATGTCCCATGGGCTCCAATTTGTATGATATTGTGTAAATTCACGGAGAACTCTTGACTCTTGCCATCTCTGTCCTTTCCCTCTTGATATTCAAGGCCATGAATCCCAAAATCGCCATCGTGGTGGCTAGCATCCAAGCAGAGATGGCCTCGATCCAGCCCGGTGTCCCAGGCTCGGTTGAGCGTGTTGGCACTGCAGGTGTTGGCGGGCTGTGATGTCAGCCAGAGGGTTGTGAAAGCTGTGGGGACGGGATCTGCTGGCAGGAGTGGGCAACAGCGGCCAGCGGTCATGTCAGTGACCCCGCAGGGGCCGAGCAGCCCTGGGAGGCAGAGTGAATTCCCCGAGCTGTCCAGCCATGGGTCCACCGCGTAGCCGAGGATTCAGTTGCTTCATAACTGAATGTGCTCTGGGCAATTTGCCTCCCACTCAGCAGCCTTCCCCCCTAGCCATGCCCTCTGTTTCATTTCCCTGTCTTCTGCCCCATCTCCCCTCCGGCTCCCCCCTTTCCCCACCTATGAAACCATCTCCCTTCTTACTCTTCCACCCACCAGGCTCCAAGTCCTGCCTCTCTCCTCATCTGCTCTTTTTGACTGTGTGTGTATGTGTGTGTGCAATTCACGTCCAAATAGGGCATCTGATGTGCGTGGATGGATGTGAGTGTGGGTCTCTGTGTGTCTGTATCTCTGGTGCATTTTGTGTACATTTGTGTCAATGCACACCTGGATGCAGATCTGGGTGCACTCAAGACTTCCTTGCTAGCGACACGGGTCAGCTTCTGCACAAAGGCTCACGTGTGAGTGCCCTGTGCATGGGGTGCTGGGAGATGACCGGGCAGGAAATGCTGTTAGCTCCCAAATGTACTTCTAAGGATGACTTTTAAAACAGAGGATTTATTCTATGAGAAAGGAGAGAATTTTCAGGAGAACCCAGTGTTTCAATTGTTTAGGGAGTTTTAAAAAAATAATTTTCTTTGAAAAGTTCAATTTCCTGCTTCAGGGGAAAGGCATACTTGGGCTTGAGGAACAGTAAGGGGAAGTATCTCAGATTGAGAGACCTGTGCCTCGCTTCCAGGCATCTGGACTGGGCTCCACCTGGCAGGGAGAGGTGGATGTCCACCAGCATCTGTTTGGGGCAGAGGGCTTGTCTGTGACCAGATCCGAATTTCAGCTAGTTTCTAGCTGTGGGAAAATGGAGAAAGAAATTCCAAACAGGGCAATGTGTATTCAGTCACTTAAATTCTTCTTAAGTAACTTTTCTTAAGGAACCAGTACTGTTCACCAACCTGTGATTTATACCCTTTTTAAAAAAACCCTATGCTTGCCATAAATAGATCATCCACTCTCTCCAACTGCTCATCTTTATTGTTGTTGCTGCTGAGTTGCTAAGTGGTGTCCGACTCTTTGTGACCCCATGGACTGCAGCACGCCAGGCTCCCCTGTCCTTCACTGTCTCCCAGAGTTTGCTCAAACTCATGTCCATTGAGTCGGTGATGCCATCCAACCATCTCATCAGGGTCTTTTCCATGAGTCGGCTCTTCGCATCAGGTCATCTTTATAACAGACCTTTAACACAGCCTTCTGCATCCCTTTGAAGTGTCCCTAAAATGTTAGGAGAACTCCTAGGAAAGGAGGAAACCACCTGGGCTCAGCTCACCATTAGCAGAGCAGGAGCTTGGACCTGGCTTTTTGGTCAGAAAGGTATAGATGCACACATTCTGGGTCTGGGTCTGCTCAGGGCCAGGTAAGGCCTGGCCACACAGACAGGATGGAAGCTCTGGGCATATGGCCAGTCCTGGCTGTGGGAGAACCGCTCTGGTGACCTCGATCCTTCCAGCACAGGGACTTAATCCCAGATAAAGATGTGCCACCCCAATCCCCTACTGAAGCTGTCATGCTGTGAGGGCTGAGGAAGAAGACCAGGAAGAGAGGAAGGAGGAGGCTCAGTCTGTGAACCTCTTTAGCTCAGACCCTGCTCACGCCAGGTCAGAGTAGGACCCAGCCCTCTGGTGGGATTCACGGTCAGCAGCCTTACCCACCAGCCCACACTCCAGGTCAAGGTCAAATTCCCTACAGATATATAGACAAAGCCTATAGTGTTTATGTGCTCTGAGCTCCATGCAAGTAGACCTTGAGCCCAGGGCCTATTTCTGCTTTTATTCCTTGCCCTTGGGATTCAGGAAAGTGGGGTGCCTGCCTGGAAAGAGGTTCTATTTCTTTCTCTCCCCATCTTGAGAGTTTTGGTTTCTTCTTCTGTTTGCTATTCCTTTCTCTCTACTCACTTCCACTGTCCCTCTACATCAACTTCAGTCAACTAAAATAATTAAGGAATTTGTCTTCAGACAGGCTCATATGCTCCAAACAGCACCCCCCTCATTCCTTGTTTGTTGGGCCTGTAGGTTTCATGAGTTCTGTGTTTCCCTGGCATCAAAGTGTAAGAAAATTTCAAGTGTGCCTGTTCCAGCTTCAATCCTCCTACAAGCTCCAGCCTTTTAAGAACTAGACCTTTTTCATTTCAGGGATCACAAAGTCACAAAGACTCAATGACTCCACCATATCAAGACAAAGCCTTCCTGCTTCACATGTCCATATGTGGCATCCTGGGCCTTGGTGCCTTTTGGGTATATTCTCTGGTTGGGAGTGAGCAGTTCCTCCTAGCAATGCTTGCCTTTCCTTTGATGAGGGAAGAAGATGCCCTGAGACTCTGAGTCTGGGCTGTACATCTTAATATTCATCCACAATCACGATGAGAGATCCAAGATGAAAGAACTTCATGTAGTTGTCCTGATTTAGTGGGAGGATGGGCTGCTTGGGGCTCCAAAGCTGCCCACCTGAGTCAGATTCAGGGACGTGAAATCAAGTACATCAACCAGAGGTGTTTAAGATGGTCTCTTCACCTGGATGAGAGCATTCAGTTCAGTTCAGCCATTCGGTGTTGTCCGACTCTTCATGACTCCATGAACTGCAGCACGCCAGGCTTCCCTGTCCATCACCAACTCCCGGAGCTTGCTCAAACTCATGTCCATCAAGCCAGTGATGAGAGCATTAGTGAACTGATTATCAAGTATCTGGGAGGGAAGGAGTGGGAAGAGGTACACTCTGGTCATCTTTGGTGTGATTTGTGAGGGATATGTGCTTGCTTCTCCTAACTAAAGGGAAGCCGTTCTTCAAAGTATGTTCCCTCTGCTCCAGGGACTCGTTCAGCCCTTTCCAAGGTGGAATGATGAGTCATGGGGTGATTTGACCACAGATAGAAGCAGTCGGTACATAGCAGCTGGGTTGGCTTCTGTGCTGTCTTCCAGCACAGTAACAGTAAGGGGACAGTTTTAAACCAGCCCCCTTCAACTGATGGTCACAGAAGCTCCAGGTGTCCCTCAGCACAGCCAGCATGGTGGACTGGGTTTGCCCTCTTTCCATCGACGTCTCCATGGGGCAAAATATTTCTTAAACATTGTTAGTTCTTAGACTCCATTGTTACTGGCTATTTGACTTTTTTTTTCTTCCTGAATAACACTTACCCATTGTAGAAAATTAGAAAGATAAAATACAAAAGAAAAACGTCCTAGAAGGTTGTTCGTAATTCCATGTCTGTGAGACATCATAATGGCTGTAGCCCCGATGCCTGCCTCATCGGTGGTGTCTCTGGGTTGGCAGCTGGGGCCTGGGGTGCAGCCCGGGAGTGCAGAACCATACTGATATGTGTGGAGTTGAGGGCTTCCCTGTTGGCTCAGAAGGTCAGGAATCTGCCTACAATGCAGGAGACCCAGGTTTGATCCCTGGGTCTGGAAGTTCACCTGGAGAAGGGAATGGCAACCCACTCCGGTATTCTTGCCTGGAGACTTCCATGGACAGAGAGCCTGGTGGGATACAGTCCTTGGGGTCATGTAGAGTTGAGCCTGTGTTCAGGGCAGCGAGAGCACGGGGCTCTGAACCCCCAGAGGTAGCAAACAGGCCTTTGAATTGGCTCAGTGCCAGAGCTTAGGGTAAGTGTAGAACAGAGCTAAAACATTCCTACTTTGTGATTTCTTTCTGCTGCTGCTTTTTTTTTTTTTTTCTATTTCTTTTCTTTTGGAGTGCCATCTCAATCTAATGATAGATATAAGAGTACTGAAGCCAGAGTAACTCGCTAATTCAGCTATAGTTGTATAACGCAGTTACTGTCCATCTCATTTCAGTTCCGCGCTGAAATGATTGGTGACTCTGGGCACTGTGTAGTCTCCATACTTGAACTTCCTCATCCACAAAATGAGGATAGTGCTAACACTTTACCTCGTGGTATATTAAGGGTAACCAAGAAACTGCAAAGTGATTTGCAAACCAGAAGTGTCATATAAATTATACACTGTTCAGATTCTCCTGCAGCAGTCAAGCCCCCACTGAATGGGATTCTCCCATGTGTTTTCTGAGCTTCACTGCAGAAAGGATAACCTAGAATGAGAGGACCCGCTGCTAAACAGGCCATACTACCCCACTTAAGCATGCGGATTTTATTCAGTCATCCAGGTTCCTCAGAGAAGTCGGCTCCTTAATTTACCCACTCTCAGGCTTCCTTCCTTTTATCCAAAGTCAATTTTGTCAAGAGCACTCTTACTCCCTCTTTGGTATTCCCAGAGGAGATGAAATAAGTAAACCATACGTAGAAAATAGCATAAATGAGCTAAAACGGTTAACTGTTAACCAAGACACATATTCAATGCCTTATTTATTTTATTTTTTTTTAACATTCTCCTAGCATTGATAATTCTCACTGTTCTTGCCCAAGGGGTTGGGAACACATCAGACTTCTGAAACATTCTAACGGTCTTTTAAGTTGAAGATGGGAATGAGTGTTAAGCCACTGGGATCTTCTTTCTCCGGTCAGTTGGTGAAGAAGATGGCTTTGTCAGAAGCACATGGGTTCTTATAGGTTCTTATGATGCATTCACTGGGAGTTGTTCTGGGCACGATCCTGTTGGGGGAAAACTCAATCCTAGGTTCTAAACAAGGAAAGATTGCATTTCCCAAAGGGTCAGCATGCTTTCTGCTTTGCAGGGGATCAGGTTACAGTGTTACGATGAGACCTGCTCTAAGGGAAAGCTGAGTCGTTCATTGCTCCCAGTATGGTTGGAGCCCAGCCAGGGATGGAGGAACCATCCAACCGCAGGGGGTGTGTGTTCACCGCTGAGAAACAGAAAACTGGGTATCAGCACGGGGGTTCCACAGCTGTAACTCAAACCTGGCCTCACTCTGCTAGACACCAGCCTCAGCAATAGCAACCCCTGCCCTTCACTTCCCAGGACTGGGTGTTCGCTCCTCGGGGACCTCTGTGTCCCTCTGTCCTCTCCTGGCCGCGCGTTTGCCTTCCTCTCTGGCTCACCGTAGACCTTTTCTGGCCTGAGTGTATCAGTGTGTCTGTGTTGCTGTGACTATAAATCTGCCTTTCACATACCGAGCTTTCATAACTCCTCCTCTTTCCCCATCTCCACCCATGGTGTGACTGTTTCGCTATTCCAGACTATCTGTAAAAATGTACAAATAAAAATGGAAACTGAAAATAGTGGGAAGGGAATTGAGACCAGACAAATGTGTTGCTGTAGCCTCAGTTTTCTGAGGACTTATGTGGACTGCCTGGAAACCCCGACTCTGGGTGGGATTCCAAGTCAGGGAGGCTGTTGGCCCAGGAGGTTGTTTTTTTTTTCCTGGTTGTTGCTCTGACAGTCACAAGTGTCTGCTTGGAACTCTCTGTTTGAAAGGTTTTGGCCTTTCAAGTGAAATGTATTTTCTGAAAAGTAGAAGCAAGTCATCCAAGTGTGAAGGTGAAGGTTATTGCGAAGGTCAACAGGGAGACCCGATCCGGGGGTGGTATCAATCGCTTTGTCACTGGCTCGCTCGGGGCCTTGGGCGAATCTTGTTACCTCACCGTTGTCTCTGCGTCCTCTCAGCCAAACAGGGGGGCTTCCAGGGCTCCTGGGACGCCCAGTCACCTTGGCCGTCCTGCTGCTATCTTGGGAGAGGCTTCGAACCCGTGCTGGAGCGCGCTTACTGTGGGAGGTACATTCGAGAGTCCCTCCTTGCTGCTCTCACCCCATGCTTTCACTCCTCGGAAAGTAACCTCAAGCTAACAGCCAGTTTGTGCTCAGAGTCCAAAGCCTTTTATCTACCTTTTCATTCTCAGATGCCTTTCCGCCCACTTTGACGATCTCATTTTACTATCGTTACTGACAGAGCGCTGTCAGAAGGAGGAAGAGTCTCAAAGGAGATGATGTGTGTGAATTGCTTTGTAATCTATGACTTACTCTACCAACCTGCGGGTACTGTCGGAAGCAGGGGGTCTGGCTAAGGATGCGATCGAATCAGAATGAAGAAAGCCTTGGTGGGAGGGGAGGGGAGAGGTGGTGGGCAGCAGAGTTGGTGTGGCGATAGAGGTAAGATAAAGAAAACTTTTGGAGGAGCAGATGGCAGAATCACAGGGCATCCTCAGCATGACAGCAGAGAAGGATCCCCAGAAGGCTGGGCACCCCGAAGAAGAAGTAGGAAAGAGGAACATGGGCAGGTAATCCTATAATACAAAGAGCTGCCTTCCCCTAGGACTGAGAAGACTAGCTGCTCCAGGGTTGGGATTCACACCAAGCTTGGCCAGTGACCTAACCCTTCCTCCTCCGTGATGCTATCAATCCAAACCTTTCTGCTCTCTGATGGTTCACAGTGACCATATCTGGGGGCAGTGCTGTCCAGCAGATACAATACAATGCAAGCACCATGTGCCATCTTAAACATCCTAGTGGCCCCATTTTTAAAAGTCTGAAGAAACAGGTGCAATTAATTTTAGTATCTGTTTGAACCCAACGTATCAGAAAAAAGTATCATTTCAACATGGAATCAAAAAGTATCATTTCAACATGGACTCAGTATAAAAATTACTGAGCTATTTGATGTTCTTTATTTTTTATTTTTTCCCAAATGAAGTCTTCAAAGTTCAATGTGAATTTTGCTCTTAGAAAACACGTCACTTTGGACCAGCTACATTTCCAGGGCTCAGTAACCCCACGAGGCCACCGGCTACCATATATAAGACAGCAAAGATTTAGACTCTTGGTTAGGAGTTGGAATCCCCCCTCACCTGCGAGTCACTAAAATCTCATGGCTAATAGGCTGGAGATCTGTGTTGGACCTGAGTAGAAAGCCAAGGAGCAATGTCCGGGCTGCCATCCTGGCCGAGGAGAGGACTACTGCTTGTCAAACACGTCACATCTGGCCCAGAGGGTCGGTTTTGCCCCTGGACACAGCCCCAGGTGACCCATCAGAGTTCTAGAAGCCACCAAGCAAGTCACTTTTTTCAGCTATAGGAACTCTAGCTTATGCTTCATCTAGACGCCCTTTATCTGAGGGTGGAGAGAGGGCCAGACGGACCTTGTCTTTGTCAGGGACAGAGGTCTCCACAACCTCTTGTCACCTGGTCCAGTCACCTGCTAATAGCATCTCACCAACATTCAGAGCTGTTTTCTCAACCCCTAACTTTCCTTAAATGCTAAAAGAGCAGTGAAAAGAGCAGTGGCCACAGGCAGGTTGGGTCTCCTAGGAGGTGGCAATGACAGGCTCTGTCCCTTACACTGGGACTCGGGGTCCACTGTTGCCCACCTCTCTTCCCTGCCTGGAGGCCTTCCTTAGATTTGGAGAAAGCTCTTTGGGGGTGGAGACAAGAAGTGAGATCTTAGTGCTGAGTACAGAATAAAATGCAAGCAAACAACCCCTGGGCGTTCTCAAAGCATTTTGAAGAGTCAATATGACATGGTTGGGTTCATTTAAAATACCATGTTCTGTGTTACGGAGCAAAAGAGAATGAGCTGATTCGGTGAGTATGTTTTATATATGGTCATTAGACAGGGACCATAGCCGACAAAACTCTCGAAACACCTGGAGTGTTTATGGTCCACCAGATTATTGCTCAGTCAACAGACGTTGATTTACCTTTAATTTGCATAGTGCTTTCTGATTGGTTAGACAAGGTGTGATGTGTTCTGCAGGATTCCTATATCACCTCTGCCCTCGGAGGTAGCAATTCCTGTGGTTATTGGTGCTAAAATAAGATTAAATATTATGTTCATTTGTTCTGATACGATGTGAATACATGTTGTTTAATCTTAACAAGAATGCTACATCTTATCAGATCTATTGTACTGTCTGTTCCTTCTCATAGTTAATTAATTACAGGAAAGGTGATCCAAACCAGATCTCGAAACTATTGTGCTATTCTGAGAGGTGAATTTAACAGGGACGTGGGAGGGGCGGGATGAAAAGGGAAATTGCCAGGTTCCTGTGACTTTGCAAGAACTGAGGAAGCAGAGAGCATTTGGGGACTTCTGACACTGACTGCATCTTGCAATTTTCTTTTTCGAATTTGGCAGAAATACTGTATTTCCATCGATCGAAGAAAAAAAAAGTGTCTGGTAATTAATTAAATGACTTGTTCATGGAAAAAATAAAAATAAATAACCTGTCAGTTGTGGAATGTAAACTGATTAAACAATTAAATAAAGAAGATCATGTTGTGTGTTTTAAGTGATTGTGTCTGCTTGGAGAAGAGGGGTCGGCCCCGTGCTCCTGGATGGTAAATGATGGTTCTCCCTCAGGCGTTGTACGGGGGAAAAAAATTGAATGACTCATGTAGGTAACAGACTGAAAACTGTAATCCTGAAGGAAGTAGACAGTGAACATTTCAAGCACGTGTAAGCCAAAGGCACATGATTTTCACATTGGGGGTTGGGGCATGGGTAGGGATTCAGAGAAAAACCAGGAAACTATTGTTCTTTTTCTCCTAGTGTTGACATTCATAACATTTTTTTAAAGGCTTTATAAGATGTTCAAATTACTGGTTACATTCTAACTTGCCATCCTATTTCTTAGCTTAGTAAGGAGAGAAATTTCTCTTAACGGTCTTCATCATCCCTATCCCCACCTTAGAATTCCAGTTCTTTTCCACCCATGTGCCTTTTAAATGTTTCTAGCTCACTCCTGGGGAGGAAATCTTCCCTAGATATTGGGAGGCCGAAGGTGATGGGAGGCAGGCGCTTTTTAAGAATAATGTCAGTCAGTATCTTGAGTTTTAAGCCAGAGTAACTAGCTCTGTCTGGTACAAGTGGAAAAGCCATTTACTGAAAAGACATGAGTAGCTGGAAGCCCACAGCGCAGGCAGGAAGAGATGAGCAGCTGGTTGGCCATAATCATACACATTCCAATCTGAACTCAACACCACAGCTGGCTGATTGCTGCTATTACCCTGGAGACCAGAAATGGCTGGGCTGCCTCTGTCACCGGGGTGAATCCCCAGGTACCCGCTTCTTCCAGTCGGTACCCTCAGTGTCAGAATCCCAGGTGGAGGCAGCATCTGAGGGGAACAGGAAAACAGGTTCTAGAGCCCTTAGCTTCCCTCTTGGTTGATGAGCCCTGCCTTCCACCAAGAGTCATAGAGTAGACAGTTCTCCAGCCCCAGGAAGAGGTGTAGGTGCTGAGCATCAGAAAGGGGAAATGTCCATTAAAGGTGGGATATCTGAGCAAGGGGAAGGATCTGTGAATAAGAGGCATGTTGCTGTGTCTCTGTATGGTGTGTCTGAATAGTGTCCAGTAACTCTGTGTATAATCTTCATGACAGTGATGAGCACCATGGTTGGCAGCCTCTGCTGATAGACATGCACAGTGTTAGGCATGGTATGGGGCTTCCCAGGTGGCGCTAGTGGTAAAGAACCCGCCTCCCAATGCAGAAGATGTAAGAGAGGTGGGTTGGATCCCTGGGTCGGTAAGATCTCCTAGAGGAGGGCACAGCAATCCATTCCAGTATTCTTACTGGAGAATTTCATGGGCAGAGGAGGCTGGCAGGCTACAGTCCATGGGGTCACACAGAATCGGACATGACCGAGTGACTAAGCACATATGCACAGGCATTGTACAAGAAGACCTGCCTAGATTTAGGCACTAATATAATCAGTGTCTGGTGAGTGTCATCCAACACTCCCAAGCAGTTCTCCACGTCTCCGAGGGTACCGATCAGATGTCCTACGATTTGACTCAGTTCTGACACCATCTACCTAGAGACAGTGTCACATCCCACAGGTTAAGGGCTCAGTCCCACAAGATTGTCCCCACTTTGGACACCAGTCAGAAGTCCAGGTTGTCACCTGTGCTTTTGATTGACTGGCTTTAAATGGGAGGTTTCCTCCTTGAGTTCAATTAATTTGCTAGAGCAGCTCATGGGACTCAGGAAAATACTTACTAGATGAAGGGTTTACTAGGAAAGAGTTTAACTCAGGAACAGACAGGTGGGAGAGACGCATTAGGCCCGGGATGGGGATCGAGGTGCAGAGATTCTGTGCCTTCTGCAGGCAGCAGAATCTCCAAGAAGCTCTGTGTTCCCCAACCCTTGTTGTTTAGTCACTAAGTTCGATCTGACTCTTTTGTGATCAGACTCCACTGTTCATGGGATTTTCCAGGCAAGAATACTGGAACGGGTTGCCATTTCCTTCTCTGGGGGATCTTCCCGACCCAGGGATGAAACCCAGGTCTCCTGCACTGGCAGACAGGTCTTTACCACTGCACCACGTGGGAAGTCACCTGAAGGTCTCCAAACCATGTCCTCTGGGGTTTTTATGGAGGCTTCATTACACACGTATGATTATATTACTAGCCATTCCCTCCACCCTCCCCAGAAGATTGGGGCATGAGACTGAAAGTTCCAACCCTCCGGTCGCCCGGCTGATTCCCTTAACAACCAGCCCCGCCATCCTTAGTGACTTTCCAAAACTACCTCATTAACATAAAGTCTAGTGTGGTTGAAAAGGGCTTGTTATGAATAATAAGATACTTCTTCCACCTTTATGGAACTGGAGGTCTTTCAGAATTTCAGAAACTGATGACAAAGGAGCAAATAGTAGAACCAGAGATGCTCCTGTTACTCTTTTTTCTTAGGAAATCCTCAGGGCTTTAGTAGCTGTGTGCCAACAACAGGGATGGAGACCTAATGTATGTTTCTTACTATAAATAACAATATCACAAGTGTAATTTGTTTTTAAAGGAAACATATCCTGGAAGTAATGGAAACAAACAGTTAAAACGTTTCAAAAGTAAGTATGGGTTAAAGGTAAGCGCCTTTCAGAATGAGTGAGGACAAGATTAACTTGAAGAAATGGGAGACCAGATCTTAAG